ATGGAGACGCCCAGATCCCTTCAAATTCCTGCAGATTCCTGGAGTTTCTGATGTGGTGGAAGATCAGCTGATCCTCATCCTGCTTCATTTGTTTGAACGTATTTATTCCAGGTTCAATGGGAGAGGAAGGACAGGGATACAGGGGGACTGAATAGAAGCAGGTGACCCCCCCACCTTCATGCAAATTTTCATCTATAGATGCTCCTTTTTTCTTTTTATCTGCAGGTTCTAATATAGAAAAATGTGAAAATGGCAACAACACACGGTGAGCAGTTCAGGCCAGAAACACAAACCTAGAATAAATCCACAGGCGTAACTTTCTGAAGGACTGCTGGGGACATGCCACCAGAAAATCCATTAGTTACACATACGGAGCTTTTCCAGCTAAAAATGGCAGCAAATTGAACATTTATACAAGTTAAAAAGCTGAGCTTCTCAGAGGAGCATTACTCAGAGTTCCAGATTAGAATGAACACAGATCTGTTGTTTTCAGATTGAACAGAGAATCAGGCTGCAGAGCTTCTAGAGATCCTGAAAATGATTTTCTCTGGCATCATTATATCGATAGACGGGTTCATCAATCTGACTTTAAGCAGAGACACATTTAGGGACAGCTGCTGATTTAAAGGTGAAACAGGTTTACTGGGATATGAAACATGCAATAAAATATATCTCTAAGTTTACAAGAAAAGATGCTTTGCTATGTTATAATAAAATACAACTTATCTTTTTGTCTTTTGAAGTTCAGCAGGACTCAGAAATATCTGCCTAGCAACCCAGAGACAGACAGACGCTTGTTTCATATCCCAGTAAATCTGTTTCACCTTTAAATCAGCAGCTGTCCCTAAATGCGCCCCCACCCTTAGAGCACCCCCGACCTTAGAGCGCCCCCACCCTTAGAGCGCCCCCACCCTTAGAGCGCCCCCGACCTTAGAGCGCCCCCACCCTTAGAGCGCCCCCGACCTTAGAGCGCCCCCACCCTTAGAGCGCCCCCGACCTTAGAGCGCCCCCACCCTTAGAGCACCCCCACCCTTAGAGCACCCCCGACCTTAGAGCGCCCCCACCCTTAGAGCGCCCCCACCCTTAGAGCGCCCCTACCCTTAGAGCGCCCCCACCCTTAGAGCACCCCCGACCTTAGAGCGCCCCCACCCTTAGAGCATCCCCACCCTTAGAGCACCCCCGGCCTTAGAGCGCCCCCACCCTTAGAGCGCCCCCACCCTTAGAGCACCCCCGACCTTAGAGCGCCCCCACCCTTAGAGCATCCCCACCCTTAGAGCACCCCGACCTTAGAGCGCCCCCACCCTTAGAGCACCCCCGACCTTAGAGCGCCCCCACCCTTAGAGCACCCCGACCTTAGAGCGCCCCCACCCTTAGAGCATCCCCGACCTTAGAGCGCCCCCACCCTTAGAGCACCCCGACCTTAGAGCGCCCCCACCCTTAGAGCACCCCTGACCTTAGAGCTTCCCCGACCATAGAGCGCCCCCACCCTTAGAGCACCCCCGACCTTAGAGCGCCTCCACCCTAAGAGCGCTCCCACCATCAGAGCGCCCCCACCCTTAGAGCGCCTCCACCCTAAGAGCGCTCCCACCATCAGAGCGCCTCCACCCTAAGAGCGCTCCCACCATCAGAGCGCCTCCACCTAAGAGCGCTCCCACCATCAGAGCGCCTCCACCCTGAGAGCGCCTCCACCATCAGAGCGCCCCCACCCCTAGAGCGCCTCCACCCTTAGAGCGCCCCCACCCTTAGAGCACCCCCGACCTTAGAGCGCCCCCACCCTTAGAGCACCCCCGACCTTAGAGCGCCCCTACCCTTAGAGCACCCCCACCCTTAGAGCACCCCGACCTTAGAGCGCCCCCACCCTTAGAGCACCCCGACCTTAGAGCCCCCCCACCCTTAGAGCGCCCCCACTCTTAGAGCGCCTCCACCCTGAGAGCGCCCCCACCCTTAGAGCACCCCCACCCTTAGAGCGCCCCCACCCTTAGAGCACCCCCACCATCAGAGCGCCTCCACCCTGAGAGCGCCCCCCACCCTTAGAGCACCCCCGACCTTAGAGCGCCCCTACCCTTAGAGCACCCCCACCCTTAGAGCACCCCCGACCTTAGAGCGCCCCCACCCTTAGAGCACCCCGACCTTAGAGCGCCCCCACCCTTAGAGCATCCCCACCCTTAGAGCACCCCCGACCTTAGAGCGCCCCCACCCTTAGAGCACCCCGACCTTAGAGCACCCCCGACCTTAGAGCACCCCCACCCTTAGAGCACCCCCGACCTTAGAGCGCCCCCACCCTTAGAGCATCCCCACCCTTAGAGCACCCCCGACCTTAGAGCGCCCCCACCCTTAGAGCACCCCTGACCTTAGAGCATCCCCGACCATAGAGCGCCCCCACCCTTAGAGCACCCCCGACCTTAGAGCGCCTCCACCCTAAGAGCACTCCCACCATCAGAGCGCCTCCACCCTAAGAGCGCTCCCACCATCAGAGCGCCTCCACCTAAGAGCGCTCCCACCATCAGAGCGCCTCCACCTAAGAGCGCTCCCACCATCAGAGCGCCTCCACCCTGAGAGCGCCTCCACCATCAGAGCGCCCCCACCCCTAGAGCGCCTCCACCCTAAGAGCGCCCCCACCATCAGAGCACCTCCACCCTGAGAGCGCCCCCACCCTAAGATCGCCCCACCATCAGAGCGCCTCCACCCTGAGAGCCCCCCCACCCTAAGAGCGCCCCACCATCAGAGCGCCTCCACCCTGAGAGCCCCCCCACCCTAAGAGCACCCCCACCATCAGAGCGCCTCCACCCTGAGAGCGCCCCCACCCTAACAGCGCCCCAACATCAGAGCGCCCCCACCCTTAGAGCGCCTCCACCCTAAGAGCGCCCCCACCATCAGAGCGCCCCCACCCTTAGAGCGCCCCCACCATCAGAGCGCCCCCACCATCAGAGCCCCCCCCACCCTAAGAGCGCTCCCACCATCAGAGCGCCTCCACCCTAAGAGCCTCCCCACCCTAAGAGCGCCCCCACCATCAGAGCGCCCCTACCATCAGAGCCCCCCCACCCTAAGAGCGCTCCCACCATCAGAGCGCCTCCACCCTGAGAGCCCCCCCACCCTAAGAGCGCCCCCACCATCAGAGCGCCTCCACCCTGAGAGCGCCCCCACCCTAACAGCGCCCCAACATCAGAGCGCCCCCACCCTTAGAGCGCCTCCACCCTAAGAGCACCCCCACCCTTAGAGCGCCTCCACCCTAAGAGCGCCCCCACCATCAGAGCGCCCCCACCCTTAGAGCGCCCCAACCATCAGAGCGCCTCCACCCTTAGAGCGCCTCCACCCTAAGAGCGCCCCCACCCTTAGAGCGCCTCCACCCTAAGAGCGCCCCCACCATCAGAGCGCCTCCACCCTGAGAGTGCCCCCACCATCAGAGCGCCTCCACCCTTAGAGCGCCCCCACCCTTAGAGCGCCTCCACCCTAAGAGCGCCCCCACCATCAGAGCGCCTCCACCCTAAGAGTGCCCCCACCATCAGAGCGCCCCCACCCTTAGAGCGCCTCCACCCTAAGAGCGCCCCCACCATCAGAGCGCCTCCACCCTAAGAGTGCCCCCACCATCAGAGCGCCTCCACCCTTAGAGCGCCCCCACCATCAGAGTGCCTCCACCCTAAGAGTGCCCCCACCATCAGAGCGCCCCCACCCTCAGAGCGCCTCCACCATCAGAGCGCCCCCACCCATAGAGCGCCTCCACCCTAAGAGCGCCCCCCACCATCAGAGCGCCTCCACCCTAAGAGTGCCCCCACCATCAGAGCGCCTCCACCCTTAGAGCGCCCCCACCATCAGAGTGCCTCCACCATCAGAGCGCCCCCACCCTAAGAGTGCTCCCAACATCAGAGCGCCTCCACCATCAGAGTGCCTCCACCCTGAGAGCGCACCCACCCTAAGAGCACCCCCACCATCAGAGCGCCCCCACCATCAGAGCGCCTCCACCCTGAGAGCGCCCCCACCCTTAGAGCGTCCCCAACCTTAGAGTGCCTCCACCCTGAGAGCGCCCCCACCCTTAGAGCGCCTCCACCATCAGAGCGCCTCCACCCTGAGACGCCTCCACCCTGAGACGCCTCCACCCTGAGAGCGCCCCCACCCTTAGAGTGCCTCCACCCTGAGAGCGCCTCCACCATCAGAGCGCCTCCACCCTAAGAGCGCCCCCACCCTTAGAGTGCCTCCACCCTGAGAGCGCCTCCACCATCAGAGCGCCCCCACCCTTAGAGCGCCCCCACCCTTAGAGCGCCCCCACCCTTAGAGTGCCTCCACCCTGAGAGCGCCTCCACCATCAGAGCGCCCCCACCCTTAGAGCGCCCCCACCCTTAGAGCGCCTCCAACATCAGAGCGCCCCCACCCTTAGAGCGCCCCCACCCTGAGAGCGCCTCCACCATCAGAGCGCCCCCACCCTTAGAGCGCCCCCACCCTGAGAGCGCCTCCACCATCAGAGCGCCCCCACCCTTAGAGCGCCCCCACCAACTTTTATCACAAAGTTCCTCCCTTGAATAAAACTGAAGGTTGAATCTGTTTTCAGTGTTCTAGGAGCACCAGCAGGGGGCGCTGTGCTCCTACACTTTGCTTCAGTGTTGATCTGATGGACATTTTTATTCCAGTTTCTCTAAATAAGTTTAAAACATTTTTCAGACTTTTCTGTCCAAAAGAAATGTTCACTTTGAAGAACAGTGGAATAAAAAGTTAATTCCAGCTGCAGCTTCATCCCTCTGCTGTTCATCTGAGCAGAAAATTAGTAAAAACTGAGAATTTTAGGTTTATTCAATTATTGCTAAAACTATAATAATAATAATAATAATTAAGGTTAATTTGGGAAAAGAAATTATTTAAAGCAGGAAAGTTCATCAGATGGTCTCCAACATCTGATTGGTTAAAATCCAGGTTGGTGCTTAAAGCCATTAGCTCCGCCCACTACCTGATAGAAAATGATCAACTCGAGTGTTTTAGAGTGTCCTGACCTTTTGAATAACAACGTCACATTTTATATTTTTATCGATTTATTTCATTTTGAAGCCCATAAATTCCCAAACAGAAATGAAAACCTGTGAAGAAGAAATAAATCCAGTTCATCTCTGGAGCCAAACAGCTTTTAGAAAGTCACCAGGAAGAGCTTCTGAGTCTAGATGCTCTGCAGCTTCTCTAGAATGATGGATCTAGATGGACCGCTGGTGAAGATGGTCCCAACAAAGACATGCGTCCCCCAGACAGGGTGTCTGAGAGCCCTGCAGCAGCCCAGGTCCTCCAGGCTGAAGCCCAGCTGGGAGAACCTGTGGTCGGTCTCAAACAGCGTGTTGTTGGTGTAGGGACCAAAGAAGGCCAGACCAGAAGAAGGATCGATGAAGTCCGCCCAGAAGCCCTGGGCCTGCAGAGCCAGGCACAGCTCCTTGGCTCCCTGGATGAACTTCTCCAGCATCTGCTCCCTCTCCTGCTCCACGGCGCCGCTCCAGGAGGTCATGTCGTTCTGGGTCTTCTGGGTCACTGTGATGACCGTCATGTCAGAGGAAGGAGCTTCAGGGAACATGGACAGGAAGTCCTTCCTCAGAGCTTCAGGGCAGCAGAGCACCGCACACTCCACCCTGCAGTCAGAACACGGAGCTTCTGGAGGAGGAACCTGCTGGGAACCATCAGAACACGGAGCTTCTGGAGGAGGAACCTGCTGGGAACCATCAGAACATGGAGCTTCTGGAGGAGGAACCTGCTGGGAACCATCAGAACATGGAGCTTCTGGAGGAGGGACCTGCTGGGAACCATCTAGTTCTCCACTCCAAAACATCCTGCTCCTCCTGCTCTTCTCTCCATCTCCCTCCAGGGGCCAGTGTGTTCCCACTGGAAGCGGACGGCCCGAACCGGCCGGGTTCTGGTCGGTTCTGGTTCTGACCGGCCCGGAGGCTGGAGCTGCAGACATGCAGCGAACCAACATGTTGATCCCTGGAAGGTACCTGACTAGCCTGGTTCTACCGGACAGAACCGGACTCAGACAGGCCATGGTACCGAACCGAACCTCGGTCTGTTCAGCAGATAAAACTCCGCGTCCTTCTGAAGTCCCGTTCGCACATGCGCAGTTGCGACCTGCCGCTTCTTCACTGAAAGGCTTCTACATCCGGTTGGTTCATCCGCCCCCTGGTGGTTTGGAGGAGAAATAAAACGCTGCATATGACCGCCACAGACAAGAAGAGACCCCGCTTTGACTGTCGCGGCGCAGGTATTACAGGCGCCATCTTGGGGAGGTCGACCTGCTCCCCTACCCTACCGATTCAAGCAGAGCAGAAGAAGGATGCCTATATATGCCGCATAGAATATATATTCTACATAGAATATACACAATAGAATATATATTCTACATAGAATATATATTCTACATAGAATATTCAAACTACATAAAATAAACACTGTACATAGAATATATATGCTACATAGAATATATATTCTACATAGAATATATATTCTACATAGAATATTCAAACTACATAAAATAAACACTGTACATAGAATATATATGCTACATAGAATAGAAACTCCCTTTATTGACCCACAGTGGGTAAATTGTGGCGTTACAGAGTAAAAGATTACAGCAAAAGTAAGTTATTTATATATATATATATATATATATATATATATATATATATATATATATATTTATATATATATATGAAAAAGAGTCAGAAAAGATGAGGAGGGGGAAAATGTCAGTGGCCTCCACCTGTAAAACCATTCCTGTTCTGATGGTCGTCGCGTTGTTGCCCCTCTAGTTCACCTGTTGTTCATTTCATTCACACCAAAGCAGCTGAAACTGATTAACACCCCCCTCTGCTACTGACCTGACCAAAGCAATATCCCACAAGTTTAATTTACTTGATGTGATACTCGGATTACAAAGTGTTCCTTTAATTTTTTTGAGTAGTGTATATACATAGAGTGACAGATATTTGTATATAATAATATATATATATATATATATATATATATATATATATATGTATTTGGGTGGCTGTGCTTTGCAACATACATTCATCCTGTCAGAATATTCTGTTACTCTTAAACCGACAAAGGATATTTATATAAACTAAACCATTTGTTTGTTTTCAGCAAAAAAACAAAACTGTGAAAATTAGTTCAATATTCAGAAAGTTAAGGTTGATTATAATTGATTCTGTTCCTGATCAACACATTACTGAGGGGAGCTGTAGACCTCCCCAAGATGGCGCCACCAAATCAAATCAGCGCTCATAGGTGAAAGCGGTCGATGCGGGGTCTACTCTTATATTATATGTCTATGATGACTACAGGTAGCCTCTTAGAGAACATAACAGGGAGGGGTCTCTAAACCCACAGGGGTCAGGGGCCGCTGGCTCCACAGCTTCCTGTTTAAATTGCCTGTCCCAATATGGCGTTTACGTTGACGTAACCCGGACATATGGGCGGGAGCTAAAGCCGACGCTGCCTCTTCTTTCCACGCGGCTGCTAGCTTCATGGCGGTTAGTTAGCTGTTAGCTGTTGTGTTTGAGTTTCTGGGACAAAATGTCCTCAAAGATCTCAGAAAGCAGCGATGATCTGAGCGACGCGTCAGCGCTGAAGGAGGAAGTGAGCAGAAAGGTGCGGCTTCTGACGAGCCTCCATGTTTTTCTGTGTTTGGAGCCTCCGCCTCCATGTTGGATCCGTTCTGCTTGATGGTTGATGAACTCCGGCTTCTCTCTGCAGGTGAAGGAGCAGAAGATCATCGTGGACGAGCTGAGCAACCTGAAGAAGAACAGGGTGAGCAGGGATGGGGAGGAACAGCGCCCCTGCTGGTCACAGAGCGAAAACATTTTACTCCAACATGGCGTCAGCAGGGAGAAGTTGATTGGTTGGTTAACTTTATTAAGCTCACAGTGGAGATATTAAAGGGGAACGCCATTTTTTTTCAATTGGGTCCTTGATTCTCCGTTATTCCATCATGTTCTACTCTCCCATCTGAGTTTAGTGTCATTTGGAGCCGTTCTGAAGATATTCCGTTAGGTTATATCCAGGAACGTCTTCCTATGGGCAACGACTTGAAGGCACAAACTAAACTGTTCATCATTTATTCTTTATGGAACGCCAGCATTCAGAACATGGAGGCCAATCACTGTCCCACAGACATCCACACTTAGATTTTATATATTTCTATCTTTTAAAAACAAAGCAGCATGTGTGTGACATCATCAGCGTGCGCCGGCTACCGTTCCTTCTTCCTGTCGGCTGAACTGCTGCTAGTTTTCCTCCCATGCCTGGAAGATGTCTAGAGCTGCTACCACAGATGATCTCGCTCTCCAGATGAACGAGTCAGATGAGCTAGAATGAATAGAAGGGGTAGAGCGGAGCCGCCTGCGGCCCGGGCTGCCTGTCACTACTGCAGTCCGCAGTAGTGACAGGTATTTTTGAGGCCACTGTTTGTTTTTCCCTTGTGATCCACTAAGGAGCCTATAAATCCTTATCTTAGAGGAAAACACAGCTGATGATGTTGCTGTTATTTAAGATAAAACATTTCAAATTCAGATAATTATTTTAGACCAAATAACATTTTCCATCCCGCTCGCTCCCTGAGGGTAAACCTCTGACTGCAGCGCTGAGAGGGAGGGACTCCTGCGGGGGTGGGACGGGGGAGGCGCCCCACGGCAGCACCTCCTGCTGGAGGACCAGAGAAGGAACGATGCGTGGAGTGGGTGGGGCCCCTCGCCCGGGGACTAGAACCACCACTGGCTGGGTGCCCATCCTTCCTGTCACTTGGTTAAACAGTTTGTGTCTCTGGCGCTGGGGCACGGGGCGCCTGGGCACGGGGCGGTGCTATGACATTTAGGCAGGATGGGGGTGAGTCGGTAATAAAATGAAACACAGACACACACACTGTTTCTGCTGGAGGAAAATGAGTCGTTTATTCCGCCACAGAACGCAGCAGAGCTCATCAACCGCGGCACGGTGCTGAATACCATTTATATTGTTCCCTACCGCGACACAAAGACAGCTGGGCGACCCCCGGCAGGGCAGCAACCCGCGCAGCTAGGCGTCCCTAGCAGACCCCCCCAGTACCAACCGCCATTTATGCCAAACTTCAAAGAAAAATCTTTCACCCAATCAGGAAAAGCGATCGCTCCGTCTCACGTCTGGAGCGCATCATTACAGAAACCAAAATATAGTCCGAACCCACCGGGTCATGGACGGCCGGAACCAAAACCATCAATACATCATGGTCAGAGCCGGGAACCGAGAACTGATGAGGACAGAAACCGATGATGTCGTCCTCTGAAGGAAACAGAGAATATTGAGCTTCATCTGGGAAACTAAACCTGTTTGATCGTCAAAGAACATAAAATCCATAAATATCACGGCGAGATGAAAGTAGAGCTGTGGATCTATCTGATAGACTGACGGATCTATTTAGTGTTTTCTCTTTCTGTGTCTCTATCAGACTGTGGTCTGGTTCATTAATGAACTGCACTGGTTCTATTGGTCCCACTGGTTCTATTGGTCCCACTGGTTTGTCCCAGTCCTTCATGTCCTCTAGGTCTCTTTGGTCCTCCTGGTCCTCCAGGTTCCCCAGGTCCTCCTGATCCTCCAGGTTCCCCAGGTCCTCCTGGTCCTCCTGATCCTCCTGATCCTCCTGGTCCTCCAGGTCCTCCAGGTTCCCCAGGTCCTCCTGGTCCTCCTGATCCTCCTGGTCCTCCTGATCCTCATGGTCCTCATGGTCCTCCAGGTCCTCCTGGTCCTCCAGGTTCCCCAGGTCCTCCTGATCCTCATGGTCCTCCAGGTCCTCCTGGTCCTCCAGGTTCCCCAGGTCCTCCTGGTCCTCCTGATCCTCATGGTCCTCCAGGTCCTCCTGGTCCTCCAGGTTCCCCAGGTCCTCCTGGTCCTCCTGATCCTCATGGTCCTCCAGGTCCCCCAGGTCCTCCAGGTTCTCTTATGGCTCCTCTCTCCCCGTCTCCTGCAGAAAGTCTACGTCCAGCAGTGGAGCAGCAGCATCTTCTTCGTGGCCGACCGGAATCGGACCCTGAGTTCCTGTAAAAGTGAGTGAGACCAGTTCATTGAGCAGAAAGCGGTTTTCGTGTGGTGGTTCTGACCCGACCGGACCTTCTGTCTGCAGAGGACCTGGACCGCTTAAAGAAGGAGCTGCAGGACCTGTGAGGCGGAGGCGGCCATGTGCGGCATCTTCTGTGCGCTGAGCCCACCGGCGACCCGGATCCAGGAGGACGCCGAGTTGCGGGACTTCCTGCGGAGCAGAGGGCCGGACTCTAGTCAGGACCTGACGGTCTGCGGGTCCGACCCGGGGTACCGCTGCTTCTTCTCGGCCCACGTTCTCCACATGAGGGGCCTCCTGACCCCTCAGCCGCTGCGGGACGGTGCCGGGAACGTCCTGCTGTGGAACGGGGAGGTGTTCGCAGGCCTGGAGGCGGAGCCTGAGGAGAACGACACTGCCGCCGTTTCTGGGAGGCTGGAGTCCTGTAGAACCGCTGCAGAGGTCCTGTCGGTTCTGGCCGAGGTCCGCGGGCCGTGGGCCTTCGTCTACCACCAGAGGGAGCAGAACTTCCTGTGGTTCGGCAGAGACTTCCTGGGTCGGCGCAGCTTGCTGTGGAGAAGCACTTCCGGGGCGCTGGTTCTGAGCTCGGTGGCGGCTCGGCCCACCGGGTTGGACGGGGACTGGAGGGAAGTCCCGGCAGCCGGAGTGTTCCGGGTGGATCTGGAGGAGTTCGGACGGACCGGTTCCCTCTCAGTGGAGGCGTTTCCCTGGGACGGCGCCGCCGCCGCCGAGCCCGGATCCTCTCCCAGCGACTGCCAGGTGGTTCTGAACAGGGACGGCCTGCTCCTCCCCTCGCCGGTCGCTCCTTTAAATCTATCCCTCCCTCCCCCCTCGGGTCGCACGGAACCACCTCCAGAATCCCGCCTCTCAGCCTGGGAGGATCTGCTGGCTGAGGCGGAGTGGCGGCGCGATGAGGCGGAGCGTCTGATCCACGTTCTGAGCGAGGCTGTGAGGAGACGGGTCCAGGTGGCGCCGCCCAGACCGGGCGGTTCCGCCTCCGTGGCCGTCCTCTTCTCCGGAGGCGTGGATTCCATGATCCTGGCCGCCTTGGCGGACCGCCACGTTCCGGCCCATCAGCCCATCGATCTGCTCAACGTGGCCTTCCAGCGCCGGGACCCAAAACCACAGAAGAAGAAGCTCCAGCAGGCGGCCGGCGCGCGGACGTCAGACCCGTTCGACGCTCCTGACAGACTCACAGGAAGGGCGGGTCTGGAGGAGCTGCGGAGCCTCAGCCCAGACAGGAAGTGGAACTTTGTGGAGATCAATGTGACGCCGGAGGAGCTGCAGGAAGCGCGGCGCCGGCGGATCCGTCACCTGCTGCACCCTTTGGACACGGTGCTGGACGACAGCATCGGCTGCGCCGTGTGGTTCGCCGCCAGGGGGGCGGGGCTGGTCCTGGAGGACGGCGCTCCGAGGGCCTTCACCTCCTCCGCTAAGGTGAGCAGGTGGAGCAGATTCACGGATGATTTCATCTGAAAGACAAAAGTTTCCATTGATTTAGTTTTTTAACTTTTTGGAATCTTCAATGCAAATATTTTTATTTGACTAATTTTGTTTTTCTGTCATCTTTACTCTAATTAATGATTAATGGTTATAAATTAGTTACTAATTACTTCAGTGATCGATCATTCCAGCCGCCTGCAGGGAAACAGTCGCTCAGGAGCTGCTTCCATGTTTGAAAGCAGTGATCAGGGGTCCCAGGGGTTTCCAGGGGTTTCCAGGGGTTTCCAGGGGTTTCCAGGGGTTTCCAGGGGTTTCCAGGGGTTTCCAGGGGTTTCCAGGCTCATACAGATTTTCTTCTTTATTTAAGGTTCCAGGAGGGAAAAGTTCTGCAGGTTCTGATAGAAACGATGGTTTTAGTCGGTTATTAGCAGAAGTTCAGACAGTCGGCGATTGTAGAGCGGATCTATGTTAGAAGATCCCAGAATTCACTTCCTGATCAAACGTCAGCAGGAATGAAGGCGGCTGAAGGTCACTGATGCTGCTCTGTCCGTCCGTCCTTCTGTCCCCCTGTCCTTCTGTCCGTCCGTCCTTCTGTCCCCCTGTCCTTCTGTCCATCCGTCCTTCTGTCCTACCGTCTGTCCTTCTGTCCATCCGTCTGTCTGTCCTACCGTCTGTCCTTTTGTCTGTCCGTCCATCTGTCCCCCTGTCCTTCTGTCCGTCCGTCTGTCCTTCTGTCTTTCCTACCGTCTGTCCTTCTGTCTCTTAGTCCATCTGTCCTTCTGTCCCCCTGTCCTTCTGTCCATCCGTCTGTCTGTCCTACCGTCTGTCCTTCTGTCTGTCCTTCTGTCCATCCGTCTGTCTGTCCTACCGTCTGTCCTTCTGTCTGTCCGTCCATCTGTCCTTCTGTCCATCCGTCTGTCTGTCCTACCGTCTGTCCTTCTGTCTCTCAGTCCATCTGTCCATCAGAACTGATTCTAATGACTGTGATGAGAGGAACAGGGACCTGGTCTCTTTGAATTCTACATTTTAAGGAAATATGAACATATTTAGATTTATTATATTTATTTTTATTATTTTCTCGGCCAGTTTTGCAAAGAATCTCAGCAAATAACATAAATCTGTCCAGTTTCAATGTGTTTGATGTGATGAACATTTTAGACAGAATTGATGGTGAATTTAACCTGAGGATGGAGGAAACTCTGAGCTTCCAGTTTGATCAAAGCTGCTTTTATTTAGTTCAATCAACTCTAAATATTTCATACGTTCACAAGAGCAATGAAAGCCATCGTCAGGGGAGACCTGATTCCACCAGTCACCATGACAACAGGCTGTTATCAATCGTCAATGTCCTCTCTAATATTCATCTGTGTTAAAGCTAACGCTGCTAACGCTGCTAATCATGCTACTAACGCTGCTAACGCTGCTAATCATGCTACTAACGCTGCTAACAGTCGCACCCAGAAACAATATAAAAGACATCTAGATGCGCTTTATAAATATATAAATGTTTAATTCTGTGTGGATTAATTCTTTATTCAGCTGCATAAACTTGTTCTTTGATTGGATCTACTGACTGATTTCATTTTTAATGAATTAAAACTATGACAGAAAACTGCTGATTTAAGCTGCTGCTGACCCGACATAGGATGTTACCATGGTGATAATATTATTTTGGTAAGACTTGAATATTTTGTTGGAATTAAAGGAACAGCTCTAGACTGGTTTAAATCTGATCTATCTGATCGATTTCAGTTTGTTCATGTTAATGATAGATATTCCTCAGCCAGAGTTCTAATGAAAATGAAAAAGAGAGATCATATCTCTCCTATCCTGGCTTCTCTTCATTGGCTTCCTGTTAAATCCAGAATAGAATTTAAAATCCTCCTTCTCACATATAAAGCCTTAAATGGCCAAGCTCCATCTGATATCAGAGATCTGATTGTTCCTTATGTTCCTAACAGAGCACTTCGCTCTCAATCTGCAGGTTTACTAGTGGTTCCTAGAACTTCTAAAAGTAGAATGGGAGGCAGATCTTTTAGTTCTCAGGCTCCTCTCCTGTGGAACCAACTACCAGTTTTAGTCCGTGAGGCAGACACCCTGTCTACTTTTAAGGCTAGGCTTAAAACTTTCCTTTTTGATAAAGCTTCTAGTTAGAGTGGCTCAGGTTATCCTGATCTATCTCTATAGTTCTGCTGCTATAGGCTTAGACTGCTGGAGGACATAGGGACCCCTTTTTCATCATTCTGCTTCATTCTATCTCTATTCTCCCACTCTGCAGAATCTGTTAGTTCAATCTCTAACGTTCTGCTCTCTCTGCTTTTTCTCATAGTAGCTTCATCTGGTCTGTTCCTGTTTGGCTGTGACTCCATCCTGGAGAGAAATATCAGCTGTGCTGCTGCCATCAACACCTTTGTTTCTAGATGTTGGAGCTTGGCCTGTTTTCCAGTGTAGTCCTGTTTCTCTGACTGTGACTAACTGGATGTGCTCTCTTCATCCTCTGACATGGGAGCTGGCTCGGAGCTCGTCTGCCTGGCTGTGTGTTTCCTGGACGGGGCCGCCTGTGGAGCTGGTTGCCTTTTGTATCTATGCTTCTTTTTCTATGTCTGCTTCTGTCTCCTTGAACCCCAGTGGGCCTCAGCAGATGGCCGCTCACACTGAGCCTGGTTCTGCTGGAGGTTTCTTCCTGTTCAAAGGGAGTTTTTCCTCTCCACTGTCGCTACAAGCATGCTTAGTGTGAGGGATTGCTGAAGAGTCAAAGAGTCGATGCAATCAGCTGGTTTTCCTTAGATAGAAAACTTTGAACCAATCTGACTGGATGATCTGGTTGTTCTGGATCTATAAAGATGACATGATGTGAATTGGAGCTATAGAAATAAACTGAATAGAATAGAATTGAATGAACAGACATGGGTTGAGGAAATGCTTTAAATGACGGTGATGTGAGCAGAGGACCAGTTCTAATGACTGAGGCTGCTGTTCTGACCCTGATGGTGGTTTCTGGCCCCTGCAGGTCCTCCTGTCTGGGATCGGGGCCGATGAGCAGCTGGCAGGTTACTCCCGTCACAGAGTCCGCTTCCAGACATCTGGACACCAGGGACTCCTCCAGGAACTGTCCATGGAGCTGGCCAGGATCTCCTCCAGGAACTTGGGCCGAGACGACCGAGTGATCACGGACCACAGCAAGGAGGCCAGGTACGGGTTCCTCCAGGACCGCCTTTCCCAGAACCGCCTTTCCCAGAACCGCCTTTCCCAGAACCGTCTGGTGAATCTCTGGACCTCTTTGGATTTCTAGTCCACCTTTTAATCCCATTTCATTAATTTACATCTTTAGGTAATCATTAATCCCTCAATCTGGGCTGGAATCCCTCCATTTCACTGTAATCTTCCCCCTCACGGTCAATCCCTCTGCCTCTGCGTCAATCCCTTCAACTCGACATCAATCCCTCCACCTCGACTTTAATCCCTCCACCTAATTGTAAATCCCTCCACCTCGACTTTAATCCCTCCACCTAATTGTAAATCCCTCCATGTCGGCGTTATCCCTCCACCTCGCCCTCAATCCCTTCACGTAATTTTCAATACCTCCACATCCGTGTCAGTCCCTCCACCTGGGCATCAATCCCTCACCTGGGCGTCAATCCCTGCACTTCGGCTCGGCGTCAATCCCTCCACCTAATCATCAATCCCTCCACCTCGCTGTCCATCCCTCCACCTCGACATCAATCCCTCCACCTCTGGGTCAATCCCTACACCTCGCATCACGCACCGGCATCACGCCGTAGGGGTTCCGACATCACGCCGTAGGGCTTCTAACCTCACGCCGTAGGGCTTCTAACTTCACGCCGTAGGGCTTCTAACTTCACGCCGTAGGGCTTCTAACTTCACGCCGTAGAGCTTCTAACCTCACGCCGTAGGGCTTCTAACTTCACGCCGTAGAGCTTCTAACCTCACGCCGTAGGGCTTCTAACTTCACGCCGTAGAGCTTCTAACCTCACGCCGTAGGGCTTCTAACTTCACGCCGTAGTGCTTCTAACCTCACGCCGTAGGGCTTCTAACTTCACGCCGTAGGGCTTCTAACCTCACGCCGTAGGGCTTCTAACTTCACGCCGCAGGGCTTCTAACCTCACGCCGTAGGGCTTCTAACTTCACGCCGCAGGGCTTCTAACCTCACGCCGTAGGGCTTCTAACTTCACGCCGTAGGGCTTCCGACGTCACGCCGTAGGGCTTCCGGCATCACGCCGTAGGGCTTCTGACGTCACGCCGTAGGGCTTCTAACCTCACGACGTAGGGCTTCTAACCTCACGACGTAGGGCTTCTGACGTCACGCCGTAGGGCTTCTGACATCACGCCGTAGGGCTTCTGACGTCACGCCGTAGGGCTTCTGACGTCACGCCGTAGGGCTTCTGGCATCACGCCGTAGAGCTTCTGACGTCACGCCGTAGAGCTTCTGACGTCACGCCGTAGGGCTTCTGACGTCACGCCGTAGGGCTTCTGACGTCACGCCGTAGGGCTTCTGACGTCACGCCGTAGGGCTTCTGGCGTCACGCCGTAGGGCTTCTGACGTCACGCCGTAGGGCTTCCGACGTCACGCCGTAGGGCTTCCGACGTCACGCCGTAGGGCTTCCGACGTCTCGCCGTAGGGCTTCTGACGTCTCGCCGTAGGGCTTCTGATGTCACGCCGTAGGGCTTCCGACGTCACGCCATAGGGTTTCTAACCTCACGGCGTAGGGCTTCTAACCTCACGCCGTAGGGCTTCTGACGTCACGCCGTAGGGATTCTGGCATCACGCCGTAGGGCTTCTGACGTCACGCCGTAGGGCTTCTGACGTCACGCCATAGGGTTTCTAACGTCACGCCGTAGGGATTCTGGCATCACGCCGTAGGGCTTCTGACGTCACGCCGTAGGGATTCTGGCATCACGCCGTAGGGCTTCTGATGTCTCGCCGTAGGGCTTCTGACATCACGCCGTAGGGCTTCTGATGTCTCGCCGTAGGGCTTCTAACCTCACGCTGTAGGGCTTCTAACCTCACGCTGTAGGGCTTCTAACCTCACGCTGTAGGGCTTCTAACCTCACGCTGTAGGGCTTCTGATGTCTCGCCGTAGGGCTTCTAACCTCACGGCGTAGGGCTTCTAACCTCACGCCGTAGGGCTTCTGACGTCACGCCGTAGGGATTCTGGCATCACGCCGTAGGGCTTCTGACGTCACGCCGTAGGGCTTCTGACGTCACGCCATAGGGTTTCTAACGTCACGCCGTAGGGATTCTGGCATCACGCCGTAGGGCTTCTGACGTCACGCCGTAGGGATTCTGGCATCACGCCGTAGGGCTTCTGATGTCTCGCCGTAGGGCTTCTGACATCACGCCGTAGGGCTTCTGATGTCTCGCCGTAGGGCTTCTAACCTCACGCTGTAGGGCTTCTAACCTCACGCTGTAGGGCTTCTAACCTCACGCTGTAGGGCTTCTAACCTCACGCTGTAGGGCTTCTGATGTCTCGCCGTAGGGCTTCTAACCTCACGCCGTAGGGCTTCTAACCTCACGCCGTAGGGCTTCTAACCTCACGCTGTAGGGCTTCTAACCTCACGCCGTAGGGCTTCTAACCTCACGCTGTAGGGCTTCTGATGTCTCGCCGTAGGGCTTCTAACCTCACGCCGTAGGGCTTCTAACCTCACGCCGTAGGGCTTCTAACATCACGCCGTAGGGCTTCTGATGTCTCGCCGTAGGGCTTCTAACCTCACGCTGTAGGGCTTCTAACCTCACGCTGTAGGGCTTCTAACCTCACGCTGTAGGGCTTCTAACCTCACGCTGTAGGGCTTCTAACCTCACGCTGTAGGGCTTCTAACATCACGCCGTAGGGCTTCTGATGTCTCGCCGTAGGGCTTCTAACCTCACGCCGTAGGGCTTCTAACCTCACGCCGTAGGGCTTCTAACATCACGCCGTAGGGCTTCTGATGTCTCGCCGTAGGGCTTCTAACCTCACGCTGTAGGGCTTCTAACCTCACGCTGTAGGGCTTCTAACCTCACGCTGTAGGGCTTCTAACCTCACGCTGTAGGGCTTCTAACCTCACGCTGTAGGGCTTCTGATGTCTCGCCGTAGGGCTTCTAACCTCACGCCGTAGGGCTTCTAACCTCACGCCGTAGGGCTTCTAACCTCACGCTGTAGGGCTTCTAACCTCACGCCGTAGGGCTTCTAACCTCACGCTGTAGGGCTTCTGATGTCTCGCCGTAGGGCTTCTAACCTCACGCCGTAGGCATGCTGACGTCACTGCCTGGTTCTCTGCGGTTAATCTGCTTTCTCTCCGGTCAAAGAAAATTCGCGTTTTCTTGGTTTGGGTTTTTTTTAGATTAAAATGTTGGAACAGTTTGTAGATTTATTGCAGCGCTTCAGCTGAAGCTTCGGCTGCAGACGTTCTGAATCTGGTTAAACGAACAGAAGCTTCTTGGTGGACAGCAACCAAGCAAAGGATCTGGACTGGACTCTGATTGGCTGATCTGGCTCTGATGGGAGCCGCGGGTCGTTAACCGGAGTCCTGTGTGGTCCTCAGGTTCCCCTACCTGGACGAGGATGTGGTGAGCCTCCTGAACTCCCTCCCCATCTGGCAGAAGGCCGACCTCCGGCTGCCCCGCGGCGTCGGGGAGAAGCTCCTCCTCAGGCTGGCGGCGCGGCGGATCGGCCTCGGCCCGGCGGCCGTCCTCCCCAAGAGAGCCATGCAGTTTGGGTCACGGGTCGCAAAGATGGAGGACACCACTGAGAAGGGTTCGGATAAATGCAGAAGATTGTGATTTTTTTGATGGAATGGAAATAAAACCAGTTTGTCTGAATGTGCGGGCGTCACGGTCCTGGTTCTGTTCTTTACTTTGCTCCTTGTTTTCTACTTTTATTGGTTTAATTCCTATTTTGTTGTAGTTTCTAGATTTATATTCTCAGGTTTTTCTGTTGTTTTCCTCTGTTGCCGTCTCGTGTTCCTTTCCCCTTGGCTCCCTCGTTGTCTCCTCCCACACCTGCTCCTTATCAGCTCGTTAGCGCTGCCTTCGTCTCAGTCAGCTGTTTATACTCTCCCTCTGCTGTTGTTGGTTCCTAGTCGTTGCTGTTGTCTTCCTCGTCTCTCCCCGGCTCCTCATGTTTGGTTTCCACATTTCTCCATAGTTCTGCTTTGCTTTTCATTATTAGTTGGATTTTTGGATTCCTGTTTCACTACATTAAACTCTAAGAAATCTCCTCAGCCTCTCTGCATTTGGGTCGTCAAACCTCATCAAACCCTGACGGTGATGGACCAAATGTTTAAACTTTAAAACTAGAAAGCTGGTTCACTGGTTTAATGCAGAGCTTCACACTCTGAAGCTAAATGCTATGAAACATGAGAGAAAATGCTTCTACATGCCAGATCTATATCCAATCTTCCTTTCTGATCTAGAATCCTTGAGAAAGTAGTTGCCAAACAAGTGTGCGATCACTTCCACCATAATGAACTTTTTGAAGAGTTTCAGTCTGGCTTTAGAGCTCATCATAGCACTGAAACAGCTCTGGTGAAAGTCACTAATGATATTCTCATGGCCTCAGATAATGGACTTGTATCTGTGCTCGTCCTGTTGGATCTCAGTGCTGCATTTGATCCAGTTGATCAGAATATTCTTTTAGAAAGACTTGAATATTTTGTTGGAATTAAAGGAACAGCTCTAGACTGGTTTAAATCTGATCTATCTGATCGAATTCAGTTTGTTCACGTTAATGATAGATCTTCCTCAGCCAGATTGAAGATGAAAATGTCCTTATGTTCCTAACAGAGCACTTCGCTCTAGATCTGCAGGTTTACTAGTGGTTCCTAGAACTTCTAAAAGTAGAATGGGAGGCAGATCTTTTAGTTATCAGGCTCCTCTCCTGTGGAACCAACTACCAGTTTTAGTCCGTGAGGCAGACACCCTGTCTACTTTTAAGGCTAGGCTTAAAACTTTCCTTTCTGATAAAGCTTCTAGTTAGAGTGGCTCAGGTTATCCTGATCTATCTCTATAGTTCTGCTGCTATAGGCTTAGACTGCTGGAGGACATAGGGACCCCTTTTTCATCATTCTGCTTCATTCTATCTCTATAGTTCTGCTGCTATAGGCTTAGACTGCTGGAGGACATAGGGACCCCTTTTCCATCATTCTGCTTCATTCTATCTCTATAGTTCTGCTGCTATAGGCTTAGACTGCTGGAGGACATCGGGACCCCTTTTTCATCATTCTGCTTCATTCTATCTCTATTCTCCCACTCTGCAGAATCTGTTAGTTCAATCTCTAACGTTCTGCTCTCTCTGCTTTTTCTCATAGTAGCTTCATCTGGTCTGTTCCTGTTTGGCTGTGACTCCATCCTGGAGAGAAATATCAGCTGTGCTGCTGCCATCAACACCTTTGTTTCTAGATGTTGGAGCTTGGCCTGTTTTCCAGTGTAGTCCTGTTTCTCTGACTGTGACTAACTGGATGTGTTCTCTTCATCCTCTGACATGGGAGCTGGCTCAGAGCTCGTCTGCCTGGCTGTGTGTTTCCTGGACGGGGCCGCCTGTGGAGCTGGTTGACAGTTGCCTTTTGTATCTATGCTTCTTTTTCTATGTCTGCTTCTGTCTCCTTGAACCCCAGTGGGCCTCAGCAGATGGCCGCTCACACTGAGCCTGGTTCTGCTGGAGGTTTCTTCCTGTTCAAAGGGAGTTTTTCCTCTCCACTGTCGCTACAAGCATGCTTAGTGTGAGGGATTGCTGAAGAGTCAATGAGTCGATGCAATCAGATGGTTTTCCTTAGATAGAAAACTTTGAATCAATCTGACTGGATGATCTGGATCTATAAAGTGACCTGAGATGACACGATGGGAATTAATAAACTGAATAGAATTACAGAAAGTTCTGGATCATTTTATTGCAGAAGGTTCTGGATCATTTTATTACAGAAGGTTCTGGATCATTTTATTACAGAAGGTTCTGGATCATTTTATTGCAGAAGGTTCTGGATCATTTTATTACAGAAGGTTCTGGATCATTTTATTACAGAAGGTTCTGGATCATTTTATTGCAGAAGGTTCTGGATCATTTTATTGCAGAAGGTTCTGGATCATTTTATTACAGAAGGTTCTGGATCATTTTATTACAGAAGGTTCTGGATCATTTTATTGCAGAAGGTTCTGGATCATTTTATTACAGAAGGTTCTGGATCATTTTATTACAGAAGGTTCTGGATCATTTTATTGCAGAAGGTTCTGGATCATTTTATTGCAGAAGGTTCTGGATCATTTTATTGCAGAAGGTTCTGGATCATTTTATTGCAGAAGGTTCTGGATCATTTTATTGCAGAAGGTTCTGGATCATTTTATTGCAGAAGGTTCTGGTCCGGTTCTCCTACACCATGTAGGACTGGACCTCCTGGAGCTCCTCCCTGAAGTAGCGGTCACATTCCAGGTAGGACGGCAGGTTCCCCACGTCAAAGCGACCCGATACCTCCAGAACATGGACCAGTTTCCTGGAACCAGAAAAGTCAGATTCAGAACCACAGCAGCCGGATCTGGACCAGAACCTTTCCTCTGCTACCTGGGAATGAGCCAGGAGACAAAGTTTCCCGGAGCGTCTCTGGCCTCGATCGGAGCGTCCTACGGATGAAAGGAAACTGTTCAGAACCAGAACCTGTCGGGTCTAAAGGTTCTGTTGGGTTTTTCTCACCTTCTTCTCCTCCAGGAAGGCGTGGAGCAGAGGAAGGCTGCTACTGGAGAACACGTAGAAACAGGGACACTGCAAGACAGAACCACACCATTAGCTGCTGCTGGGCCGGAACCAACCGGACCACAACCGGGTCAGAACCACATACTCACCGCTCTCCTGGACTCTGTCTCTGAGGGCTGCGGCTTCTCCTTCATACAGCGAACGCGGAGGTTCTCCTCCACTTCCAGGATCCCGTACTTCTGGGTCTCTGCAGAACCAGAACCCCATCAGCTGTGGACGCAGAGGGACTCGGAGCGATGGACACCGATAGAACAGAACCAGAACCCCAGAGGGACTCGGAGCGATGGACACCGATAGAACAGAACCAGAACCCCAGAGGGACTCGGAGCGATGGACACCGATAGAACAGAACCAGAACCCCAGAGGGACTCGGAGCGATGGACACCGATAGAACAGAACCAGAACCCCAGAGGGACTCGGAGCGATGGACACCGATAGAACAGAACCAGAACCCCAGAGGGACTCGGAGCGATGGACACCGATAGAACAGAACCAGAACCCCAGAGGGACTCGGAGCGATGGACACCGATAGAACAGAACCAGAACCCCAGAGGGACTCGGAGCGATGGACTCACCTTGGTCTCGGCACCGATAGGAAAGGACCAGGCAGCTGTCCTCGCTCTCCGCCTGCAGCTCACAGACTCTCTGCTCCACCGCCCGCAGACTGAAGTCCTCCCTGAAGAGTGTGTCACTGCAGAAACGGGTCAGAACCGAGGCTGAGACCCAAACGAACCCTATTTGATGAAGCATGTTTCCAGCAGAACTCACCCCCCGATAACCATGACTCGGTCCCGGATGTGGAAGTGTCTGACAGCCAGCTGCAGGCAGGCCACGGCGCCCAGACGCTCCTGGGAATACAGCGGCGTTTAGACGGAACCAGAGGTTCTGGAACAGACCGGGTCCAACATCTATTTACCTCATTGGTTCTGGTCTGGTCACACAGGACTTGGACGTCTGGAAACTCTTCGGCCCATTGTTGGAAGGCAGCGTGGTGCAGAGCGTTGGTCTGAGGAGAGGAGCAGGTTCTGATCAGTAGAAACATCAACAGAACTCCAACATTCAGGTCCAATCAGAACCCGACCAGAACCTAAACATTAGTTCTGCTAACAGCAGGTAGGGCGTCCAGGTGGGTCCTCCTGGGGGGGCAGGGTTAGGGTTAGGCTGCAGCCCAACATCCAATCACAGAAGGTAGAAAAAAGCATCAGATGATTGGCTGAGACTGATGACGTGTCAGACCAATGTCTGCCTGTCATTGGTTGGAAACCCAGAGAAGTTAGCGTCACGCTAAATGATGGGTTAACTCTGAACGGACAGAAGAGCATGAATTTATGATGAAGACTAGTTAGGACTCGTTCCATGGCTGCTGCAGACTCTAAGGTGCCTCATTGATGAGGCTTTATTCTATTCTATTCTATTCTGGGTTAAACAGGAAGCCGATGAAGAGAAGCCAGATATGATCTCTATTCATCAGAACTATAAACTATAAATAAACGTTCAGAGGTTCCTCATTAATGAGGTGTCACACCGTAATGCACCGATTAATGCATTCATTAGTGCAGTGGTTCCCAAAGATTTTCTTCTGGGCCCCCCTTTGGATTACGATCCACGCCCTCCCCCCCCAAAAAAAAAAAAAAAAAAAAAAAAATCAACTGGGCACACACATCGTTCAACCAGATATAATAAACTTATACACATATTTTGTTTTCAAACTCCACTGAAGTTTATTTCACACTTAAGGTTGCAACAAAACAAACTACACCATCTCCACAGTGGAAAACTTTTATGTAACTATTTTTTTCATAGTTCTATACTGTAGATCAGAAGAGGATTCTTTGCTGTCTGTGTTATTTTAAACAAATTTCTTTTTTATTATTTGGAACAATATTTAACTTTGCTATCATCAATACATTAAAAAAGCCTCTGTGCAAAATGGAGTGAAAACATTGAACGGCTCGCTGAGTTTTTTCTTTGTACTTTAATCCTCCCATCTTCTCAGTGGCTGCAGTGAGCCTGCTTGTTGCTGCAGCGTCACAGCTGTCCATGATGCTCAGTCAAGCACTGGTTTCTTTCATCCATACCGCTTCCCGGTATTTTCCCGGCGTTTATATTATATTTTTCCTATTCAGCTGCTTTCTTTAATCCTCTTTAATCCCTCAGAATTATAACATAAATTACATTAAACCAGATTATGATGTAAACCTTAAAAATTTAATGATATTTCGCATAATGTGCTTTTAATGCTACAGAAACCACCGCCCTAACAGCAGGTCCGGTCCGGTTCGGCCCGGCTGTATGAACAGGTTCTGGTTCCGTTTCTGATGGGAAGAACTTCCTACCACCACATAGATCCCGTCCGCGGTTCCGGAGCGCCTCAGAGCCCGGATCCAGTAGCTGATTAGCGGACACTGAGCCACCGGCAGCAGCGGCTTCGGAACCCCGATCAGGTGGCCGAACCTGCCGCTGGCATCAGAGGAGACGTCCCTCTGCAGTCTGGTTCCGAACCCGGCGGCGAGAATCACGGCCTTCATTTAGAACCCTGATCCGGTCCGGAACCAAAGTCCAACTAACTTCCCATTCTTCTTT